TAAATGCATCCAACATTTTCCAGCAGTTACTCAAGTATGAGGAACACTTGACTTCAAAAGGAATGGAAACCTGTATACCTGCCTTTGATGTCCACCATTCTCTTATATATCCTTCTTTTAATTTAAAAAAAAATGTGTGTGTTGTATATGTGAGTTAATACCACTTTTCATAAAAAATTTGCAGTTTGGTCTTTAAAAAAGGATTTAATTTTTTACAGACGGTGGGTATATATGGGCTTCATTTTTTCTGTGAAAATGAAAGCTTAAAGACCTATTTCAAGTCTCAGGAATGGAATGAAGAAACGCTCAAGTTATTTGGTTACAATTGAAATGATCTTCTCTCTCACTTCGATATTGACTTTACGTAAGCGACAAATATTTTTCAGTGCTTCTGTTATATGTGTCACGCAGCACTTTTCATGTTTAGGATTTTTAAATACTGTAGATCACTCGGATTTTGAACCACACAATAACATGTACACCAATGAAATCAAATTGTTAAAACTCAACTGCTCCCACTCATTTTTAAAATCAATCGAGTTAGTGAAATAAAATTTTCACCTTGCTTCTGCTGCTGCTAAGTTTGCTAAATTTTTATTCGAAGCTCCACTCAATCGCCAATAAAGCAAAGGCCAATCAAAATTTTTTGACCAACGGAAAAAGTATTTGCGGGGAAAATTTAAAAAGTTCACAGTGATCAGACCAAGAACTCTGCTACAGTATAGTTTGTACAGTACACATTTGGAACACCACTTAGAAATACAGTACTGCACAGTACCTAAAAAAGTCTATAATTAATGAACCATTTATCCAAGACCGGAAAACTGGGGAAAGAATAATTGAGTATCACAAACCTTTAACGTTCAAAATATTTTATATCGAATTCTTTGAGTTGGAAAATAATTGTTACCTTCAACCTGAACACATACCATGCTGATATTTGTTTTTATTAATTCAGCTTTGCGTATTTTAGAATAAATATTTTTGTCGGGATGATAAAAATAAAAACGTAAATGTGATGCATAAAATTGGCCACGTTTAATAATTGACAATTTCGTGAACGAAGTAAACAAGAACTGTGCGGAATTCGTTTCTTCTTCAAACTTCTGGAGTGCAACTAACCCGTGGCTTGGTAGCCAGTCGACTGGCGTTTTCCCATGGCCTGAACGGCGTCGACATCGACACCGTCGGTGCTCTGTCGAGAGGTGTCGACTGAGGGATGCTGCGCGCAATGCTCAACAAGTTGCGTTGTTGGCCAGGTCCCTTTCATCCCGCGTGAATTGATGTCTCATCCACCCCCCCCCCTTTCCCCCCCACTTCATGCAACCCGCATTATTATTTCTTTTTACAAACATATAGAACAATAAGTGATAACATTTTCTTCAATATATAAATGAAATCTTATCATAGAGAAAATTTTGGAGTCAAGAAATTTTTTATGAAAAGTGACTGTTTCTATAATACTGTTGAACCTCTCTAAGTTGAACTTCAAGGGATCTGCAAAAGAATTTGACTTAGGGAGATTTTGAATTGAGCTGCAATCCTACAATACAAAGCCCTTTTGTCCTGGGAAACAGAAAAATTGCTCAAAATTGTAAATTGTAATATTCTGAGGCTGAAAGTACTTCTTAAAGGAAAGTAAAGCATCCTGAACTTGGAGGCAGGGTTCATTTGCCCATCAATTAAGTCTCTCACCTCCTTTTAAAACAAATCAATTTGTTTTATTTCTTTTTTCTTTCTTGTGTCAAGAAAATTAAAGCCAACAGGTCACAGAAAATTCAACTTATGGAGGTTTGAGGGGAAAAGCCTTTGACTTGGGGAGGTTTTAACCCTTGGATGGTGGAGGGTTCTTTCCCATTGCCAGCCAAAATTGGATTATTTTCGCATGCTTGGGCATTTTAAGTTTTCTGAAGGTCAGAAAGACCTTCCAGTTGGGCTGAGGAAAAGTTGGGATTAATCAAAGAAAAGCCCATTGATTAGCATAGCATTTTTTCATTTTCCCAGGAAATTTTTCTGTGCAAAAAAAAAAGTCAGATTTTTCCCCAACTTTGTCCTCAAATCCCTGTTGTCTTTTTTTATTTTTTGCCCTGAGGTGTAACAAAATTTTGCAAGAATAGTCCAACTTTGCTGCCCAAGGGTTAAATGCATTAATTTGAAGGGGATTCAGACAGGACCTGAAAAAATCAAACATATGGGAGTACAGTATTTGACTTAGGGAGGTTTTATAGTTATCCATATTCACCTGTACTGCGTCAATGCATCTTTCACAAAATATAGGACACATTAATTTTTGATTTTCCTCTATAGCAAGATTTCATTGTGTTGAGACTATCAATATAGACATTGTAAGCACTTTCTGAAAAATTGCATGCTCATTCCTTCAGAAACAAGTTTTCTTGAAAAAAATGCAAAGCATTTGAAATGAAAATGAAAAAGTCATTGAAGCAGAGGTAAAAAAAACGTTTCTCCCCGTTGTTGGAAAATGCTTTTCAAAAACAATGTAACATCATTGATGGATTTATTTTTCATTTAAACTGTGTATGAAAATTATTTTGGAATACCAGTTTATACATTCCAGAGATTGAAACTGATCAAGAATTGCCAAAAACTGAAAATGGTTGCTTCCAATCTAGACGTTACATAAGAAGAGTATTTTCACCACTGTTTCTTTGGTTTTCTGCCATGACCTTTAAACATTGTTATGAGGAAAATTTTCCCATTAGTACAGTGTTTGTTGCTTGCATATGTATACCTGCGTACTTGTTGTTCTTTCCACAATTTGTTTTGCTCAGGATTTTCCAGGATATGGGATTGCTTTTTCCTGAGAAGTATGGTAATGCAAAAAATACAAAAGATTGAATGTTCACAGCAGCAAAAACAAATGCACCATCCCCATCTATTTTTTAAATGCATCTTTAAACAAAGCACACAGCAACAGCCCCACAAGGAAAATTCAAAATTGGAAAAGACTGAGTAAGTTTCACGGTACTTTGAGGTGTACTCTTTCATCTAAAACAATCATGGAGAGTTTAGTGAAAGGCTATACAGTAAACCCCTGCACAATGGACTTAGTTTGTGCAACACAGAGGTCTTCTCTGTGAAAAGTCTGTTCTGAAAAGTTGATTATAAATTGTATTTTACTTCCTACTGTTAATTTTAAAACAACAGAAGTCTTTTATGCAGATTTAGTCCATTGAAGGAAAATTGCTGCCCCATTGTGCAAAAATCTGTTGTGCAGGGGTCAAGTGTATTCATCTTGAAATATTAAAAGACCTAAAATTTTCTCCGGAAAATTGGAGATGAAATGTGAACAGAAAAGTTTCAGTTTAAACATTGCCAAATTAACTAAAAGTACATGCATCTTGAATATTAACATTGTGGCAGTTTAGGCCGGGTAATAATGTAATACATTTAAAGCATTTTATACACTAATTTCATTGCTTTTGTTTATACAGAATATCCCGACTGTGCAAGTTTATCGATACGTTCGCAATTTTAATTATAATCAGATCCATGCATGTGTTCTTCTTTTCACATTTCTTTTGCGAATTGAATATAATTTTCTCCCATTTAAATTTTCTGGCTATCTGCTGCATGGGCATCACGGAAGTTAGTGTAATTGCCGTAATGGTGCTCTATAAAATCACATTTCATTTTGTTTGAAATTGTGCCAAAATCGCATAACGCGAAATACTCCTATAACATACTTGTGCAAGAGCCAAGTCCGACACACACGTTACCAGTGAACGTGATGCGCGCAGAAAGACAAAAACATTCCTGTCCCAGAAAATGCTAATTCTCCGTCATGAGATATGTTTTCTTTGTATTACATTGTCAAATACTGCCTAAATATACACATGAAAATGTAAGTTAAGAACTCTTTCCACCATAAATTGTGGAAAAATAATTTCAAAGCGCTCATGCAGTATTTATCAGCCTGAAATGAGCGCTGCCATCACATTACCGTTCTCGTGGAAAAATAAAACCTGGTCGTTTCCTTCCAAGTTATACACATACAGGAACATCTCCTCTTAAAATAGGCGGGGATCGTAGCTCTGATGAACATTTACTGAAGCTTTCCCGTCACACTGTGGAACAAAGGAATGCTCTTTACTTCAAAAAAGATCAGTTACGGATCGCCGCTGAAATACGCGTAGAACAATGTAAGCCCCGGCAGTAGCTTGATCAATGCCAGGCTCTGTACGAGTATGTAAATGGAATAAAACGAGAAACATGCTCATGTCAAATGACGTCAGGGGAAAAAGAGCAAAAAACGGGCAAGCCGCCTCTTACGCGGCGCACCGTATATGGTCGAGCGCGGGGAAGAAGGTGAAACCTTCCGAGGGTTACGTGAGCCTGAGAGAGACTGAAAACCCTTAACGTTAACTGTAACAGTTAATGAGAGAGCATCAACCGTGCGGTCACGAGGAGCAGCGGGACGCCAAGTTGCAGGGGGGAGAGACACGAGCCTGAGCAGATCTGCCTAGGGCGATCAATGCAAAGTTGTATCCCTCACCACAGAGAAGGCGCAAGACCAATAAGTATAAGTATCTGTTGGGTTTATATAGGGAGTGATTCTGAAGTTCTAGTATAAAGGTAAGTTCCTCAACAATTTATGATCTAGTAATCTTAACACAGATTAAAATTCAAGTATTTGCAATGCAAACTTGATTTCCTCTAGGTACGCTGATTTATATGACGAATTTTCCGATTAAACACCATAAATATTTCAAAATGTAGGTAATCTTCGGTAGCAAATTTAAAGCCCACGTAGTGGTAAGCGCATGAAGATAATTTGAAGAGCTTAATGCCTAAAATGACAGAGGTCACTAGAAGTTTTCCAGCATCCGAAGGTTTGTTCGCAGCAGCGTACACGGATACGGATAGTACATTTCTGTGTGGAATTGCATTCGGTGTTGGCTATCCGTGAAAAAAATGTGCCTGTGATTCCGTAGTTCGCGCGTAAAGCACGATTGTTCGTAGTTGATGCTATGACTAAAATGTGTCGCACTGCTTGAAGATACGACTTTGGTTCGTGATGACGCCAAATTCCTTGCCAAGCGCGTTCGGCGCTTGTCTTGGTTCTCAGTTAGTCATGATGTGTTGGAAGCTGGTTTAGTTGGCGAAGTGTATAGAGGCGGAAGCGGAGCTTCTCCAGCTTGCGAAGTCTCTGAGACTTCGAAGCATGGAGTTGCTGCGTACGAAAACTCATGTGATCGCGATCGACGGGAGTCATTCCCTTTGGATTCCGAGGGATGGCTCGTCACCGTTTGTTTCACCTGGTTAGTCCACGAATGAGTTGTGTGATCGTTCCGAATATTTAAATTTGTCATCCGTTAACCTTCCAGCCTCAAAGTTAGGATCTCTCGTGGGTGACGTCGAATGCCTTGGACTGATCTATGCCATTCTTGGGAGGCTCAGTTTACCAATTAGTGAGTTTTCGCAGTATTTTGATAATTTTCCAGCGTGATTCAAACTTATTTTTTGTAGGCAACGAACAGTATTTGTTCGTGATAGCTGATAAAGCAGATGTGGGGAAAGTTCCGGGAGTAGGTCCTGTCAGGAAAATTACAAGAGTCGTTCCCATTGTCTTATCTTCTTGGCAGTCCACGGAAGTACCGGAAGTTCTGGACATTCCTGATGCTTTGCTACCATGTCCGAAACACAAAAAGGCTGGTAAGTAATCAGCACTGAATGGTTTAGTAGGATTCTAGAATATTTGTGTGTAGGAAAAGCCGAATCCGCTTTAAAAGGAATTTTGGATGTCTCCCCGAAGTCTGCCTCCGGCGCATTACAGTTCACGATTGGTGCCCTGAAAACTGCGACGTCTACGATCAAATCTGCTACAAATCAAGCAAAAGAGCAAGTGAGTTAGCTTCAGTAGGCTTGAACTATTTATTTTTGTGTCAGGACGGAAAACACATGACTCATGACGAATGGCTTTACGGATTCATTGTTTTAAACCTTTAAAATTTTCTTTTCGAGAATTTGTCGCGGTTTCGGAAGTGCAGTAGATTGACGATAATCTTTCTCATTTCACGAGCGCCTGTATCAGGTATATACATTTTTAGGAATATCGAACCCGTCACTTCATGTACAAAGCACTTCCAATATGCAGCTAATTACGAGTAATGGGTAGCACATTCGTTATATGTAGATTTTTCTTGTTAGGCGACGAATTCATTCGATATTTTTTTCGAACCCGGGAAGTTCCGGAGAAACACTAAGATAAGATGTCACTTTGTGCTGAGACTATATGCCATAAAATGACGCGCTCTGTTGTCTTTCCCCTTTTTTTCAAATCCGAATTTTCTTTTTCTGACGCGATTCTTTCACCATCAATGTTCCAATTTCCCACAGATCAAACTTGGAACTTCAGAATCTCGTGCAATAAACAAAGAGCGTCTCCAAAGGCGTGTCTATGAAGAAGTTGTGAAACTACTCAATGAACCGGATTCATTCTACTTTTCGACTTCGGGAAATATCAGTCAAACCGTTCAAAACAAACTGGGCAACAAGGTACGGCTCCCAGATGACCCAGAACCCGAAAAATGCAGGGAACCTCTGAACTGGCGACATTTTGAGGACAGATTTTTCTGGAACAAGCACATGCTGAAGGATTTTTTGGCGTTGAGCAACAGTGACAAAAATAATGCGGATAGGTGGATCACACCCGTTATGATGGGTTACGTTGAAGTGAAAAAGTGTCGTCACGATGCCCCCAATAATCGGGCGGACGAAATGACTCTTGCGTTGGTTTCTCGTCGTTCGAGATTCCGAGCAGGAACGCGGTATCGTTCTCGCGGTGTCGATGACAATGGCTACGTTAGTAATTACGTGGAAACCGAGCAAATTCTCGGTTTTGGACAACATGTGATGGCCGTGACGATCGTTCGTGGATCCATTCCGATCTATTGGAGTCAGCCCGGAGCCAAGTACCGTCCCCCACCTAGACTCGATCGTGGTGAGTTTGAATTCAATTCATTTTTTTTGTTGGTAGAATTCCGCGATGTGGCTATTTGATTAACAAGAACCGGAGTTCGAATCTTGAATTAGCGTAGAAACTTCGAAACATGGCTGTTGAGATTCAGTCTATTTCTCTTAACTGCCCTTCCGCAATAATTTCGGATTTTTGTATGTCTGAGTCTGCATATGAGGTTTGAGTTTTTTTTCTTGTAGGGTTCGTCGGTTAGGTAGGAGCGACTCCGATATTGGTTTATACCATTTATGGCTTCACTAAAATGCAATACTGATGGACTCTCTCTGCGACGAAATTCAATGTACCAAAAAAAAAATCGTTGTTGAGAAACCATGTAACATGGGGAAAGAACACTTGGAACAAAAAAATTCCTTCCAAGTAGAAAAATCGTTGTAGACAAGTTTTTTGCGAAGAGAATCCACCTTACATTTCAACCCTTATGTGGTGGAGTTTGGATATTTTTTCCGAATTTTGTTCCCTAATCCACGTGTATTCGATATTGATGCTTCAGGATAAGTTAGTCAAGAATGAAGGTTATTCATTATTTTCTGTTGAAATGGGGTTCGTAGGGTTATTTGCTACAAATCAATACAGTACTTGTATCAGGTTTTTTGAATCTTAGACAAGTTATTTCGATGGAAGTTAGGCGAGTTTGCTTTACCGTCAAGGGATTTCAGTGAAAGATCGAGTACTGTAATGTACGTTGCATTGCTGTTTTTTTTGCGAGGATACGTTTTGAAAAGCTGCGTGGGCAGTGTAGAAAGAAACTACTGTACTCGTTTTCGTATAAATTCTTGCCAGGTTTTTTTTTTCCATCAGCCAGCGAGGTCGAAATTCTTCGAATTTCGTTTTGTATGTACTGTATAGTGGTATAGTATAGCAATTCTTTTTCGACATTTTTATAGGATTCAAAGAATGTCAAGAGGCATTCAGGAAGCATATAGATCGAGAACTTGAGCTTTACAACCATGTGAGCATCATTAACTTAGTTCAAAAGGAAGGATCGGAGAGTGTATTGAGTCAAGCTTACGAGAAACACCTCGTGGAATACGATTCTCGGGACTTGGATTACATACCTTTCGATTTTCATCAATACTGGTCAGTTTCCAGATTTTTAGTTTCATACTTCGTCGTGAAATGCATTGCATGCTTCATTTTCGTTCGTTGTAGCCGAGGACTGAAATTCCACAATGTCGGCATATTGATCAAGTCAGTTGAAGAGATCATCAGGGAGATTGGATTTTGTTGGGCCGACAAACAAGGTTTAATCTGCAAGCAAAACGGCGTTTTCAGAGTGAATTGCGTTGATTGTCTCGATCGTACGAATGTTGTTCAGGTTCGTTTACATTTTATCCTTCATTAATTTCTAAACCTTGTGCTTGACTGTAATGTTTTTCACGTGTATGTCGTAGGCTGCGCTTGGTCGGGCCGTTTTCGAATGGCAATTGAACAAACTAGGTCTCTTGGGACCAGGAATGCGACTGAGTCTTGGAATCCAACAAACTCATCAGGTCTTATGGGCCAACAATGGAGATATTATTTCTCGCCAGTACACTGGAACCAAAGCTTTAAAGGTAACTTATCGTAATTGATTCGTTGAACTGAAGAAATTAGTAAATATATCCTACCCCCACAGGGAGATTACACTCGAACTGGAGAAAGGAAATTTGCCGGTTTGATGAAGGACGGAATGAACTCGGCGAATCGGTGCGTAAATCTGTTTTGTTTGGGAATAATTGACGTGATTCCGTCATGTTTTGTCGTAATAGGTATTATTTGGGGCAATTCCGCGATGCTTATCGACAAGGAGCTTTCAACCTGATGCAAGGTGCGACCATTTTACCACGTTTTCAAGCGCAGGAATATTCGTTAAAAATATTTAATTTATCATTGAAAAGAAAAGACAACTGGAATTCTCCTCGTATTTCTGTTCCGTTTTGGTAATTGAATATAACATGCTGTCGATTGTAGCAGTGATCGTTGAGCACTTCCATTCATGAAGCACTTTTTGTCGATTTAACTTTCACTTATTTGATCCCGTGTCACTTGCCTGCCAAAATACTAGAAACTCAAACGGAGAGGGTGGACCAAGAAGTGCGCAAGTATTGGAATGGTAATGAAATATCTCAGCAACAAAATATTGCGATGATCAACGGCGTATAGAAGCATATTTCAATTCCTATAAGTAAAGTTAATCCTGTACAGTACTTCCTTGGATGCAGTTTTTAGCTTGTATATTTGCTTCTGACGACGGTTTTTCGTCGCATAACGTTTCAGGTGCGGAAGATGCCCTCATTACTTCACTAATGGCGGAAGATCACAGTATAGGAGGAAAGAATGTTCTGAGTCCCAGTTGCCAAAGGAGGTTTGCCAGTGGTAATTCGGATGATGATCTTTCGCCTGGATCAAGTGGACCATTAACATCCGATGAAGTTATCGAGCGAGTGAAAGCGTTGTTAGTTGAATGCCTCGCTGAATTGGTTCCAGACCTTGCAACCGTACTGGGAGCTTGGGGCCTCATTGATGCCGATCCTGTGTAAGTGCGGAGCTGCTTTTCAATATTCAAATTATTTTGTGAAAGAAATGGATCAAATGGCATTTTATCATTTAAATTTTTTTATGTTCTCATTCTTATTTCGAGAACCCTTTTCCCCTAAAGTGAATGTGGAAATTACATTTCTTCGTACTTACCGGGTCACGGAAGTGTGTTTTGTGAGTGGTTATAAATAAATTTTGTTGTATACTAAATCGAAGAGAAAAAACCGGTGCATTAATAGTGGAAAAGGAAACTGGGCCTAATTATAGCTGTAATATTTACTGAAGTTTATGATCTTTCTTATAAAATTTAAAAAACAGTTCATTGCATCACCTCGTTGGTTGTCTCATATAATCTGAATTAGTGTGACCACCATGGCCATTCGGAAAAAAGAAAATGTCACTCGCGAAAACAATGTTTGTCACATTAATGCGTTTTTATCTTTGCAAGCTGTGCAACCGCCCTTTCTGATGATTTTTGTCGCCTGTTCCGTTTATTTTGTCAGCCTTACTCGTTATGTTTCGGTTAAAACTGTTTCGACTCGAAAAAGATTTTTGTTCATATTATATTTTTTCAGTTTATTCAAAAGGTTGCATTTTATTTGAAAATCCTCCTCAAGTGTCACTCCATATTTCATTTCAGCACCGGCGATCCAAGCGAACAAGACGTGGATTGTATTCTGATTTTGACGCAAAACTCGTACATCGTAGCCATGTGAGTTTCACACAATTTTCAGCATTGTGATCCTCTAGTCGCAGTTATTTCGTTTTTGTGTAGGTTCTTCCTTTCTTGTACAGTACAGTAGAAACTTCCGACAAAGGAAAAATCTACCTGAAAACGTTAACGTTCCGGTCAAATTTTCTTCGTAATTAGGTATGACGAGACCCTGGAGCAAATGGAAGATTACATAGCTGTGAACTTGTGTGATATGACAGCTATTGAAATCGGATTAGAGCAGATGTCTTCGCCGTCTCCGAAGTTCACGAATTTTTTGTCTGGGAAGAAGGATTCTAGTAATTCTACTCAAAACGACAGCCAACCATATCTGAGACATACTGTCTTGAGACTGAGTTACAAGTTTCGTGGAGAATCCGGATTCTATCATCAGTTCCGAGCTTCGAATTTTCGCTTCTTCAATAATGTGCCGCTTCTCATGAAATCGGAGGAGGAGAAAATTGGTATGTTCACTGTTTTTCACAAATTTTCAATCGGAAGTATTTTCTCTGATTTAATTTATCTATTTATTCTCAGAATCGTTGCGTGCGATAGGGGAAACGATTGCGACAGCCGCGAACACTTTTTCCGTCCGCAACAGTGAGATAAGAGTTAAGGAGCATCGAGGTCCATTGGATTCGGCGAGAAGTCGTTTAGTGAAAAATTCATCGCGGAAAGCCTCAGTTTCCTTGAATTTTTTGTCAAGCTTCGACGTCGGTTTATCGCGGTTGTCAGATTCCAATGACCAAGCGTCATCTTCTTCATCCTCACCGTTCAAGTCAACTTTCGGAAGAATCGGTGCAAAAGCATTGAATAACGTTAGCTCCAGTTTCGCAAAGTTGAGCCCCGTCTCTGCGATTCATCGATCCATTAGGAAGGCGCAACGAAGTCCTCTGAATGCCGATCGACGAGTGAGGAAATCTCAAATTTATCAGAAGAAAGTTTACGGCAGTGTCCGTATATTGAGCATATGTTTCTTCAGTTTCGAGTGTCCTGAAGTTGAATCGTCCTTATGTTGAGGCGTCCGTACGTTGGGGTCCCAATTTATGCGACTTATTCCGGAATATTGATGGTTTTTCGTCGAAACAGTTACAATGTTGCATTTCGTGGAAAAATGCCTTGAAGCTCATTTAAAATTTTTCTGATCAGTCTGTAACTCTGCAACATGACAGAATAAATCAAAATGATGCTGGGGAATACGAACGTCAGTAGGTCCGGAAAAAGTGATTCTTATGAGGAACATCGAAACTTTGAATTTTAGTTTGTGTTGCCAGGGCAATGCTCAGTTCGTTTCGAAGGTCGAATTTTTTAATCGGAATGACTGAGGAATGTTGAAACTCTCGATTTTTTTTTTAGAGTAATGCCATTTTTCAATTGAGGAATTTTGAATTTCAGCAAGCGGGAGGTATGGAACCTGCAGATGCTTTGTCAGTTCCGACAATGGCGACTTCGGCGTCTTTCTCGGCCAGCGACGCGGATCCCAACACGGTAGTCAGTGACGATTTTGTTTCTTCCTGTGGAATTTTATCCGTGCTGGATCATCAACAGCAGAAAACCATGCTAACGGAGTCTAACAATATGAGAAAAGAGCAAGCGACGAGTTCTCGTTCTCTGAATGAAGTTGATAGACTGGCAACTAGCGGAAACCGGTCCTTACTCAATCTGAAACTCGGCAACGAAAACACCGTGAAGCAGTCGAGAAGTGATACGTGTATCGCGAAAAACGAAGCCTCACCCATCAGCCCGAGTGCATTTATCTTGTCTGGGATTGCCAAGGGTGTGCAATCGATCGGCGGGAATTTTCACGGAAAAAGGAGAGATGTTAATCTTGTCGAGGACAGAGCGTTTCTTCAGAAAAAAATGGCGTGCAAATCGAGGTTTATTGAAATCGGGAGGACCGAACCGTCTGGTACATGAAGAGTTTTTTTTTTGCTGGGAACAGTTCATTGCATTCTGTTGATCCGTGTCGGAGGATTGCAAAGTTTCTTCCTGAAATGCATCTCAATCTTTGTCTATAGACCAAAGAAAAAACTACGAGCGAACAGAAATTTCGCAGACTGGAATAAAAGTCGAATCCATAACATCATATCAAACATTTCGACACCCATGAAGTGCTCATTCGAGAAAGCTTAAAATCTTTTATGTTAGATTTGTGTTGCACTTTTTTTGCAGTTAATAAAAGGAAAAACATTTTTGAATGCATTTCCGAAAAGTTGCGTTTTATGATACGATATTTTGATTTTGTCATTCGGTTGCTGTTTTGGTGGTCCCACAGCGTGCTGGCTGAATTCATGTCTCTTGAGTGATCTCCGAGTATCGAAAATTTATTTCTAGTCGGGATTAAGGATGGGATCAATGCAGTCATTTAACGGAAATGCTACACCGGTTTAATTGCTTGAAACATGGGAAGAAAAAAACGGACGAAGAAAAAGGAAACTTATCTTACACAAAATTCTGTGTCTGAGAGCGTATCTTTCCTGTGATACAACAATCCATTCCTTGTTTTTCCAAATTTCTGGAGCAAATCCGAAGACATTCAGGTTTTTCAGTTGTGTATTTTTCAGGCGAGCTAAATTGAAAGTATATGGACCGAAAAATTTGCACCTTCGAGGGATTGAGAAAAAAATATCTTCAAGCATTTTTCTTGAATGGCTTTTTAATTTTTGCTACCACGAAGAATCTGTTCCTGATTTATGCGTATTTTCGCGACGTGGATTCATTCGGAAGTTTAGTTGATAACCCCTGTGATCATTCGCCTTCGCATTTTAGCTGTGTTCGATTGAATTATGGCGGACGTGAAGACTATTTCCATCCTCTTTAGTCGCTTCCGCCCTAGATTTCCGAGCGATTTTTCACCAGAATATTCAAGTAAATAACCTTTGGAGCAGCAGAAATACTCCGTGTTTTACGGTCCTTCATTTTTTTTTTAAGAAAAACCGTGTAATCTTGATATTAATACTTCCCGGGAAATTTTACTCCTCGATTTTTAGCGCGCGAATTGAGTGACGTGACGCGTCGGGAAAAGTAGCCATGTGTGATCGTGCGGACGTGGATCTGCACAACGAAGGTCACCGTAGGCCTGCGTTGAGAAATGCGCTGAAAACGGGTGAGATCGAGCATATCTCGGAGTTGTCCGAATCGTTTGGAAAGTTGCTCATCAGTGAAATTTTCTCGGACGTTGTGCTCATTGTGGGAGATGAGAGATTCCCAGTGCATCGGACGGTCATGGCCGCGAGAAGCCCTTATTTTCGGTGAGTTTTCAACGCCTTTTTTTTGTTTTTGCGGACGGCGTAATGTACGAGGTGGTGCAAAAATTTGTTTTGCCTGTATTGCTTCTAGAAATTTTCAACATGGAAATACGAGCACGTATTCGCTGTTGAATAGCTTATTTAGAAAGAGAATCGATCAAAAAAATAATTTTTAGAAATGGTGGTTGTTTTTTCTGAATATTCCATGACTCAGCATAATTTAGATTCAATTTAATAATATTTTCCATTGTAATTAGATGAAACTGTCCGCATTTTTTCCCTCTTTTTAACTGAATGCTTGAGGAAGGTGCTCGCAAAATTCTTCAGGAAAGATCTAGCAAAAGTTAATGAATATTCTTTACAATGAATATTCTTTATAATGAATACTGTATTCTTCTCTAGCAAAAGTTAATGAATATTCTATACAATGATGATTAAAACGCACTGGGAGAATAAATTGAAAATGTGCCTAATCCTCCTATTTTTAATTTCTTGATCACTCTTTTCAGAGCGTTATTTTTTGGTGGCATGAAGGAGTCCCTCGAATCTGAAGTGGTGCTAAATGACCCACCGGTTGTTGCCTTCAAAGCTATTTTGGCATACATCTACTCTGGGAAGCTCAAGTTCTCTGACATGTCGGAGGAGTCCATTCTAGACACACTGTCCCTTGCTCATCAATACGAGTTTCCATCGTTGGAAGTGTCCATTGCACAATACCTGCAAGCTCTGTTGACAGTTGGAANTGATGAAATGTGTTCGACTTCCGTTATTGACGATCCACGAGTTGTTGAAAGTCGTTCGTCCGACTGGCCTGATCTCCGCTGACGAGTTGCTTGACGCTCTCGATGCGCGCACGAAGGATAATTCGCCAGGACCTGACGACTTGAACTATCGTGGCTTGCTCGTTTTGGATGAAAAGTAAGGAATGAGTTCCTTTTCTCTTGATTAAAAATATGTTCACCATTTTTTTCTCGATTTGAGTGAACAGTATAAAAACATACTGAGAATGAAAACTTTGATCAATTTGCGTGGTCTTACATGAATAATTTTAAAATGTCCAGAGAGAAAGATCTTGCTGGATAATCGTTTCATTGACCTTATCAATTCTGCTTCCACGAATGCGTAGCTCTCGTGTCTGAAAATTAATTTTGAACGAAATAATCGATTTGCAATTGAACTTATTCGGATTCTAAAGGACCAGCGAAAAATTCGAAAAGTAAGGGAAACTGCCATTTTTGCCTTGAAAAAAGGAAGAAATAAAGTGAGTTGAAATTACCGAGATTTCTTGGCCCGAATTTGACTTGTGAAGATGTTGACATGATGCTCAACTTCGAGGCAAGGGTTCATTTGCCCAATTAGTCTTTCACTTCCTTTCAAGAATCAAGGTACGTTTTTATTGTTTTTCTGTTTTTGGGTGCAAAAAAAAGATTATAGCCAAAATGCATCCGGAAAATTCGAGTTCCAGAGGTTTGAGGGAGAATTGCATTTTTTCTAATGGAATTCAGGTTCGGACTTCGAAAAAATTCGACTAGGGGAGGCTTGAGTTATGCATGTTCAATTGTATTCGGTTGAATAAATCCTAATCAATTTCTAAAAATCCCTCCAGCCTTTTAACGAACCGCCACGGGGCGGAAGTGACTGTCGGCGAATTACCACAGTATCTCTTGGACGGGGATACGGATACTTTTGACACGGAGCGCGGCTTCACAAGACACGCCATTGAAGATAATCGATCTCGAAACCTGCGCGGGGAAAGCTATCAACGTCTCTGGTCGACCGGAAATATTTGTTCACAGCAACCACAAAGCTCAGGAGGTAAATACCTCATGGCAACTCACTCCAAGTTTTCCAAATGAGAAATCGTTGACGATCTTTTTTGATGATCCTGCGCAATTTCTACGCTAAGAAAAAAACTGAAAGCTTTTTTTCATATAACATGTAGGACAAACATATTTTCCCCTGTGAGAACTTCTATAGCGATTTGATGTAAAATTCGTAATTTCAGAAAACTGAAACACAGACGCAAAGATTTCCGTGTTCTAATGGTTATAAACTAATTAAAATCATAAAATATGAATTCGACGTAGTTTTTATGGTGGTAACTACTGTACAGTACAAAAACTTAACGGGATGGTCTTTTGTAGGTATTTTCGTTCCAGGTCCATCCGTTATATTGTAACATTGACTCAAACTGCATGATATTTTTAGGAATAGTGGTACGTCTGGGCAAGCCGTCGATCTTGAATCACATCCGCATGTTACTGTGGGATAGAGATTCGCGATCATATTCCTACTACATCGAGGGTTCCGTCGATGAGAATTCTTGGTTCAAGTTGGTGGATCATACCAAAGTCCTCTGTCGATCGTGGCAAGAAATTCGATTTCCTCAGCGAGTTATCAAGTACATTCGCCTCGTCGGAACTCACAACACCAATAACAAGGTGAGTTGTTTCCTTTCGAATAATTTCTTGGAATTTCCTAATCTAAAAATGTACGCACCAGGTCTTTCACGTGGTTGCTTTGGAAGCCTATTACTCGACGAAAGTTGTCAAGATGCAGGATGGTTACATTGTTCCCGAACACAATGTAGCGTCATCGCAACTCGGCGCAGTTGTTATCGAAGGAGTGAGCAGGAGCCGAGACACTTTACTCAACGGGAACACGCATTCGTATGATTGGGATAACGGATACACTTGCCATCAACTCGGCGGGATGCCGATTGTCGTCCAACTCTCCCAACCGTATTGGATTGGTTCCATGCGCCTGCTGCTGTGGGATTGCGATGACAGAAGCTATTCGTATCACATCGAAACTAGTCTCAACAACAAGGACTGGGAAATGGCAGTGAACAAAGACAGGGACTTGTGCAGATCGTGGCAAGAATTGGTGTTGAGCCAGCCGCGAGCAGCTGCGTTCATTAGGATCGTTGGAGTGCGGAATACGGCGAATGAAGTGTTCCATTGCGTCCATTTTGAGTGCCCGTCTGTTCAGGATCCGAACGAGAGATTGCAGAGCACAGGGCCAGCGAAAACGGTTCTGAGAAGATATTAAGAAGAATCATTTTTATTTCTATGTGGCCAAAGATATCACTGGAATTTGGTTTTTTTTTTCTTTGGGCGGTTCTTAGTGAAAGGTTTTTCTGGAGTACGCTATCATTCTCTGAACTCCATTCTGAAGAGGAATAACGTTTAAAGAACCGGAATTTGTGATACTATGAGGTTGGATCGCTTGATGGGCAATTAATTTGTTTGTTTTTGATCATGCTGGAGTTCTTGAATGTCACACAGTTGTATTCATTTCTTGGAACTAACTTGAATTTTTCTTCCGGTACACGTTTTTTTTCTTCCTTGAGTGGAAATCAAGTTTGTGATGCACAATTAAGCTTATTTATAGTCCTCACGGAACTTCTGAGCTGGAATACTGTGTGAAGTTTTCCCAATGTTAATCCATGGTTCATTCATTGATGTGTTCTATTTCCTGTGAAACTTTTGAATCTTACATTGTGCTGCTCCACCCTTTCTGTAAAACATCAAAATCCAAATTTCCGTCGATTCCGGATGTTACTGAGAAGCAGTACATGGTCGTCGAACTCAAATCATGTGAGAATACTTCATGGAAATCCAATAAGTACACCGAAGATCGGTCTGGCAAACCCGGAAAATCTTGACGAGTCCACTATTTTTAGCTCCTTGTTTCCCGAGCGGGATTGGCTTTTATGCATTGACGTATAGTTGAATCTGCTGAATATTTTAAGAATGTCGAAAATTCACTTCTCTGCAGGGAATCTCCACTTTTTAAAAAATATATTTCAAAGATTACGAAAGATTCGTGTGACATTCAAATAACTTCCCTGTTTTGAAAAGTCGTTCATTTACCATTTTTTACGACTGCGGAAGTCTTGAGGGTTCAGTTTTTATTTAATTTTTGCTTTCGTCGTTTTAGAAGGCGCGAGAAGAAATCGGGAAGTATTTTTTTATTTTCGAGGCTGCTTGATTTATCATCAAATTTCGTTCATCGCGAGATTGGAAAAAATGTGACTTTTTCGAAATTGCCTGCATTTCATTCATATCCCTTACATTAGTAGCAATGATCGGTCTTGAGAAACGACTGTGATGTTTATTTCGCGCATTTCCAGAGGCTTTTGTTTTATTTCATGGACCGCAACCCGCGCGAAGAAACCTACCAGCCGTCGCCGTCTTCCTCATCTTCCTCGGCACTCGATTCGCATGCGGGGAACAAGCGGGGTTTCAAAGCCGTCGGCCCGGAATCTTTGAGTTCTTGCGGCTCCAAGGGTTCCCACTCGCCGTCGAATAGTGTGTGCTCAAGCTCGACGTCAGTGTCGGAGCCACCGTTGGGACTGAACGCGAGCACGCTGACGTGCTCTGCGTTGATGACGGAGTCGCGCACTTCGAGGGCCGACAGCGTCGTGCTTTTGCCCGGAGAACGAATCCAGAGTTCCGCGAGGGATGTCACCTATGTGTGTCCTTACAATGGGCCTTTGAGAGGCACTCTTGGCGTCACCAACTACAGGTAATTTTTTATTTATAAATTTTTCTGGTAATGACTGGATTCCGCCGTTCTGTGTTCGACTGCTGATCTAGGCTTTTATTTATATTACGAGGGTTGTCCCACTTGGAGGTGGTCTTCGGGTATTTTGAGAATGAGTATTACTGTAAAAATAAAAATATATGTAATTTAATCTATGATCTTTCAAGGATTTTTTCAGATTTAAAAGAAAATTCGACTTTCTGCATGGTAATATGCAAAAACTTTCCAGTTTCCGCCAAAGTTTTCAACCCATGTCACAGGGTGCTGAAAGTTTGTCGGCCCAGCTAAAAATTGCCTTTTTTCACCATTATCTTCTCTAAATCGTGTGAAATTTTAAAATTGTCTCTATGATATTTTTTCACCATGAATGAAAAACCCCAAACATGTAACTGTCTTTTCAAAGGCAAAGGTTCATTTTCAATTTTATTTTTCTTTAAAAACATGCAAGCCCTGGTTCCTGCCTGTCATTTTCTTCTCATTACAATACCTTGAAGTTTTGTAAAACTTTATTCATTTTTTTAATCGTCTGCCTCAAACTCAGAAGGCAAAGTAATGGGACGTCTGCCTCTTTTCCCTTGATTTTCTTTCCTTTCGGATGAAAGAAAAAATAAATTAATTGAAAATATGAACATTCAGTAATGTATTATGTAATTTACGGTACTTTGAAATCACTGACTTTTTCTGTACTCTTCTTCTCAGGTTCTTCTTCCGCGGGTTGGAACGAGATGCACCATTGACTCTTGACGTACCACTTGGACTAGTGACATGGGTTCAGAAGTTGGGGAAACTGGGGAACAAAGTTGAACACGTATTTGGAGTGGACGTGCATCTTTCTGATCTTCGGCACGTCCGTTTTGTATACCTGCAAGTGAGTATTATCCTTTTCTTATTAACAGAGAGAAAAAAGTGATAAGACGGGGAACTAAATCCAATTTGTCAATATCAAGTGAAGGAGGATTTTTTCAGGCTGTCCCAAACTTACTGTGTGGTGGATTAGTCAGCATTTACAGATTTCTTCCAATTTTTTGTCGGCGGATCCGGAAGCGCGTCATAATTAGTGATGATTTGAGTATGCTGTGTAAAATGTTGAAAATATCCTGCACGAAGCAGGAAATCTGTACGAAAAAAAATCGATTCGCAATACTGTTTCTAATTCCCGCAAAACCGTTTGAACCCTTGTGTCCCACCGTAACGTTGCTCAAGAGCTCAAGTGATACCATCAATTTCAATGGAAACAAATTGGAAAATTCAATCATGGGTATCACAATTTCTTCGCAGCTCGAGAATGTGGGTAGTGATGAATTTCCAGGTAAGTGAAGTAAATTTTGTGCGCGTGTAACTTTTACTTTGCAGTGCATGATCTCTGAAAATTTGGATGCATCTCATTGGTAAATATGTTTTATTTGCAGGACACTGCCTCGAGACGAACAGTGTTTGAACACATTCAGTACTATGCTTTTCCTGCGACGCAAAAAATCAATTATTTTGCTTTTGATTACCGCGACACCTTTAAAGAAAATGGATGGACGATTTATGACCCTGTGCTGGAACTCACGAGACTCGGTTTGCCAACAGATTCTTGGGTCATCACCAAAGTTAACGCAAAGTACGAGATTTGCGACACTTACCCAAATATCTGGGGAGTTCCGAGGCGAGTATTTATTTATTTTGTTGTTGGCAGTTTTATCGTCTATTCTAATTTTCCTTGTAGATGTGCATCGGAAGAGGATTTGATCGCATCAGCAGCGTTTCGTTCGAGAGAACGTCTTCCGGTTTTGTCTTGGCTTCATCCGGAAACACAGGCCTCAATCACGCGATGTTCCCAACCGATGGTAGGCGTTAGTGCGAAAAGGAGCCGAGCTGATGAAAAATATCTGCAAATGATCATGGATGCGAATGCTCAGTCACATAAAATTTTTATTATGGACGCCAGACCCAGGTATGCAATAAGAAAATTTTTTTTGTCAAAGTTCTTCTAAAAGACTTGGTGGAAAGAGTGTGCGGTCTTGAAGAAGATAACCAATTACCGTAATTTCGCCGAAATTCTGATAGAGGGTTTAAATTATTTTAAAAAATGAGAAACATATTTGGATTAGGTTATTGATGGTTGCTCTTCGAAGCTGTAGCTCAGAAGAGATTTCCTCATTCTTTTATGTTGCTGCTCCTTTGGGAACACTCTTCGAAGACGTCTTGTTTTATTGTATTGTACAGTACTTGTTACCGTTCATTCAAATTGTTATTTTGTAAACTTGCTTTTTTTTACCCTGCAAGAGAATATTTTTTCTTATTAAATTACATTAAATATTGCTTGCTTCATATGAATCGAAATGTGTGAATTTTGCTAGGCTTTTCAGAAAAATAAAATTCAATTGTTGAAGTGAGGGGGTTGAAATTGTCGAATATCGTAATCTAGAACCTAGGTGATCAAGATAATGCAGTACAGCATGTGATTTTATAGTGAGTAAGAAGGTTGGTCAGACAGTCATTTTTACCTTGTCAAACATGTCGTATATTCGTCATAAATGCTAGAAGGTCTCTTATATGTTATATCAATTTTTATGGAATCCCAAGAACTTCAATATCTTCCACATTGAATGGTGTTACAGCATTCTGAAGTATATTTCGTCAAAATTTTTGCAGCGTGAATGCTGTGGCAAACAAAGCTCGTGGCGGTGGATACGAGAGTGATGACGCGTATCCGTTTGCGGAGCTGGTCTTTCTTGACATACATAACATACACATGATGCGAGAGTCGTTGAGAAAATTGAAGGAGCTCGTTTTTCCGTTGGTTGACGAGTCGAGGTGGTTGTCTGGGCTTGCAGCGACGTCTTGGTTGGATCACGTTAGATCAATTCTCGCCGGTGCTGTGCGAATCGCCGATAAGGTGGAGAACCAAAGAACCTCCGTCGTTGTTCATTGCTCTGAAGGTACAAATTTCAAGAGATTCGTAGGTTTCTTTTTGTTTTGAGATTTCATTTATGAATCTAGGATGGGACAGAACCGCACAGTTGACCGCTCTGGCCATGTTGATGCTGGACCCTTATTACCGAACCATTCGTGGGTTTCAGGTGTTGATTGAGAAGGAGTGGCTGAGTTTTGGGCACAAATTTGAACAGGTTTGTCTTCGTCATGCGAAATTCTGATTCGAAGATTTTTTTTTACATCTCGACCCTACTTCCTCGGATTTCAGGCAGGTGTCTCTTGAATCGTTTTTGATTTAATAATGTAACATGGAATTGACCGATCTAACATAACTTTAGTAATTTTCCTAGCTAAAGGTCCCTGACTTTGTCTAAGCCTATGTAGCCTATCCTATCCGAAACACGACTTCGCAAAAGGAAATTCCGGCGACGCACATGCAATCGAGAAAATTAGTTCTCGTGGAAAATCAATTGATGGATTGAAAAAAAGTTTACTCTTCTTTAATACTTTTTTTCCTATTGTGGAGTGAAAAACGTGTTTTCTGGATTTTTAGAGGCTAGGATACGGTGAAGACAGACACACGGATGCGGATCGTAGCCCCATCTTCGTTCAGTTCATGGATTGCGTGTGGCAAATTATGCAGCAGTTTCCCCACGCCTTCGAATTCAACGAAAATTATTTGATTCAAATCCTGGATCATGCTTATTCGTGTCGGTTTGGAACCTTCTTGTTCAACAGGTGTGTTTCTCAAGTAAAGGACAATGGAACCTTAATTACTCGAACTTCCCTAAGTCAGATACCTCCCTATGTCGAATTTTATCTGAGGTTCCTGCTTGAATTCCGTTAGAAACGATTCTCCAAAAATCTACCTAACTCGAATTGTTCTGGAGGCTCTTTTGCTATCATTTTATTGACACAGGAAAGAGAAAAGCAATAACTATGTATCGATGTTTTTATAGAGGAAATGAGTCCAATTAACAAATAAACCCTTGCCTCCAAATTCAGAATCCTGTCAACTGATTTCAGGAGAAATTCAAGGCATAATGTACGAGGTATCACCAATTACAGCTCTCAGAAATTCTTCTTTCTTTCCGCAACACAAATTCTTGTTTACCTCTCTAATTCGAATTTTCTGTTCGGTCTCTTGAATTTCGAATGTGTTGTTCACTTGCAGGGTATCTTGTCGCTTTTGTGCCTAAGACCATTCTAAAATGTATCCCCTATCTGGATCAACTCACCATTCATAAGATCGTGACCTTTTTGCAGTGACGAAGTTGTAATTTTTTGCGTTTCAGTGAAAAAGAGCGGAAGGAGAAAGACGTTAAGCGCAAGACAATATCATTGTGGACCTACTTGAATTCTCGCTTGGACGAGTTTCTCTACCCCTTGTACAACAAGTATGAATCTCGGCCGTTGATCATCCTCCCAGCTGCCAAACTCCGGTCCATGAAGTTGTGGAAGTCCTACTATTGTCGCTGGAATCTCCGCATTTTTCGTCCGGTTCGTTTTCATTCAATTTTTATGTTTGTCTTCAATCGATTGGAAAGTAGAACTTGAAGTAGCACAAAAAGTTACTGTAAAATAAAAAATTCAGAATCCATTCAGAACCAAATCAATGATATTTGCTACTTCATCAATTTTTTTGCCGCATGAGAGAAACCAGAAGCCGAAATAGTTCGGTATGACCCAATGTAAAATCAATTTGCTGCTTTTAGCTGTGGCATTCACGCGCTAGAACAGTGGGTCATTCATGATGCAAAATGAACCGAGTATAAAATTGTCTTACTATTACAATCAGTTGATAAGTTTTTCGCTGCACAACTTGTTAGACGAAGCATTTGTGTAGGGATTTTATTTTTTGGTGTTTTTATTTTATTGAATAGGAGCAAATGTCTCTGAGATCCAGAGAAATTTTGGCATGCAGATCGCAGCTGGAGAAGAAGCTCGAGTTGCTGATCGAAGAACTAAGATGTAGGGAAGACCAGGACCAGGGAAATGTACCCCAAGTCATGGTTTGACGCTGGTATTTTTTTATGCTTCTGTGATTATTAAGAATTATGTAAACCAGCCAAGAAATCATCATGTGAGACATGGTGTCTCGAAATGCGTGCATACATATTTTCATGTGTTCCTTGAAGCCGAATGCTTAAGAAACGATTTCAAATTTTTGCAGAAATGAATAATCTTTTTTTTTCTTCAACACACGGACCGCTTTCCTTTTTTTGCGAACTGTTTCTCGAATTTCATTGCAATTTCTCTCTTTTTTTGAGTAGAAACGAGATGGCGGAGAAGTTCAAAGTCGCGCGAATGTTTGGGAAAGTGGTGAACAAAGTCAAGCCGATTGTCTTCGAAGGTGCGTGGGTGCCGAAACCGACGTCATACGCGTTATCCGAGCTAGAAGCTAAAAAGTTGAACTTGAAACCAGTCAAGAAAATCACTGTGCGCTTTGATCCTTTCGAAGCATCGTCGACAAACGCGAGATGGTTTTTGTACCTCACGAGTGACGTTTTGTTGCGAGAAACAAACCTCAAGTGTTCCTTCAAAGTTGATGTCGTGAACGATCGGTTACCTTCTCAAATCGGGGTGGAATTGGGTGAGAAACTGTCTCGTCGAGATTGGGAATTTATTGCCTGTATAGCTGTATTTACGTCTCTCTGGAAGATTTGCCGTACAGTGTTTTGTTCTAACGAGAAAAATTGAAGAAAGAAAAAGCTGAAAAAGACCCACTCATTTGAATGTTGTCCTTGTCCTGAAATGCGTCGTGTTCCATCGAATATTGTCCTAAAAATTCGATTCGTCTTCAGGCTTTTTCGAATTATTGTATCTTAATTCAAATTGATTATTCTCTTCTAGAAAATGGACAGAAACTCAAAATTCTGCCCGCAAATCTGACGCCGTTGGAAATCATGAAGGAGATCAACTCAGTTGTGCTTCCGCTTGTTCCTCCGCCGCTGGAAGAATCCAAAATTGTCCAGACAAAAGCAACGAAGAAGCAGAAGCGATAAAATTTTTGTTTTGTTTTGTTTTTAAAAAGTGATCGTGATCTGCGAAAAAATTTAGTCAGATGTGTTGTTTGTTGATACTCTCAAATTGATTTGTTTTCTTCTCAAAACGGGGGAACTTTTATGACTTCATTCCAGATGTCTCCGTTTGTTGCACATCGAGAATACGTGTGCAGAAAATATTATGTTGACGTACTATCGAAAGGCTTTTCGTTTTTCGTGCTTGCCGTTATTTTTCAACTGATATTCCCTCTTCTGTTGAGTTCCGAAAGTGGAGGTGAGATCATTTATTCGTTAAAAAAAAAAATCTGTCAGCATATTTAATTCGAAAACTTTGCTCGATTCTTTCCACGTGTCTAATACATTTCATTTATTCATAGATTTCTGGCGAACGAGGGCAGAGTTTCACGAGAGACCAAAAGTGAAATTTACTGGAAAACTTGTGGCGATTGCCGAAGTGGAAACCGAAAAGGGGGAAAGAGATCAAATGGTCTTCTCGTCTTTTGAAAAATTTCTCGACGAGTATGAACCGTACTTCCGCATTCCGTTCATCCAGGTTGATAAATACCATGTGTAAAGCAGAAGCATCGTCCTTGACTTTTTTTTTTGGATTCACAGCATCGGGAAGAAGATACAGACGAAGATGGAATATTAGATCAGCTGAAATTGGACTTGGAATTTCCTCTTCAAGAAACTGAGCGTTCGAGAGGAATCAGTCTCATGTTGTTGTTCTCATTTGCATTGCGTGTGAGTTATGCTGAATTTGGCAAAAGACACTCCGTCGGAAACATTATTTCATAGGTCTTATTGCTATCAAATGAATCATGCTACGGGTTGCTTAGCTCACGGAGTGTCCAAAAATTTACTTCCCTGTGCGAAATTCGTAGCCAATGGTTCCATAATTTTAGTGCTGTTACGTTCAGCACTTATGGTGAATTTTCCGAAAATGAGCTGAATGACGCGCTAGGGAATTCAGTCGTTTTCAAGGGATTTAGATTAGCGAGAACATTTCTTCGAGGTGAAACTTTTCAATATTTCACCGACAAATGTTGAAGGCATGAAACAGAGAAATCTAGCAGCTTTTAGGTTGTCCCATTAAAATAATTTGACTGCCAGCAAATTCTAAGCCCATTGATTCAAGTTTTCCCGTTTTTTTTTTTTTCTCCCTACGGTTTGTCACTTCCACAAGATGAATGTAAATACTAGTCGCTCTCTGAAAGCCAAGTAAATATAGTCATCATACTTCGATATTTTCTTAAAATGTGCCTGAAATTGTTCTAGGGCGTAATTTTTGAGTCATGTATAGTTTTGTAGAATCCTAGTGTGGTACGGTTCATGAATAAACTTACACCACATGCAAGCAATGTCAAGTCGTGAATGTACAAATTTTAAAGATCATGAACATGTACCGCTAAACCGCAAGATTAGTTGTTCGGGGGATGTTATAGTGGGTTTTTAATGTCTCACTGCGTAGGCTTTTTTTTTTCAGACTCCTGTTGGTTGGATGTCAAGTCAAGTGGGTGACAGTCGAATGATCGAAAAGTGTGATTCACGTTCTAAAGTTCAAGCAACTGATAATAGAGCATCTCAATGTAAAAGTTACATGAGATAAGGCCCGCATTTAAATCGAGGTTGCGCTTGTAATTCAAGGATGAGTCATTTCTTGAAAGAAACTGATCCCAGTGACCTGTGAGGAATTTTTACCGAGAAACTCGATTTTAAAGATGTTCATGCAGGAAGTACCCGAGTGTAATGAATAGTCCAACCCTGTCAAGAAAACCCCGATCAGCCGCCACCCTCGGAAACCGCCGATTTTTTTAATCATTCCTGATCATAAAAGCGTTGGAAACCCCGTTTAAACGACATACGCCAAAATTATTGCTGTCAAATATGCTCCTGTCAAATTTTGTCTTCGATAGCCGCCAACAAGATTCAAGTTTCTGCAAGAGGTCTCCATTTAAAAAGAAAACACACACGCACGCAAATGTGACACAATTTAATTTTTGGAAGCATCGGCTACGTATTATTTATGCATCTAAGGGTTATTTTGGTTGTATTCTATTAGGCGAATAATTTGATTTCCCATTATACTCAATTTTCATATTATTTTACCATTTCTGATAAACCACCAGTCCCAGCTACAACGCCACAAACGTAAAAAACAAATGGTGGCGGCTTATCGAGGTTTAAGTACTGTACTGTATATCATAATACAGCCTTCTGTTTTGTCTATTCATTCAGGATCAACATCGTTTGACAATGGATGCCCTGGCATTTGTGCAGTCCCCGCCTTTGAATACCCGTCGCAGCCGAACGATTCCTAACCAATACGAATTCAAGACTGTTGGGTTCCTGAGCACACACCAGTTTATCCCGCTTCCGAGTCCCGGACATCCCATGACTTCCTTCCGATTGGAAAATGCATTTCCTGTGCGTCAGTTGCAAGCGCCATCTGTGGACTTCAGGGAACTCGCTGTTGGCTACTTGACTTCCGGAAACAACAGCGTAATTACGAGGTTCGAATTTGAGCCGANGATTATTCTCTTCTAGAAAATGGACAGAAACTCAAAATTCTGCCCGCAAATCTGACGCCGTTGGAAATCATGAAGGAGATCAACTCAGTTGTGCTTCCGCTTGTTCCTCCGCCGCTGGAAGAATCCAAAATTGTCCAGACAAAAGCAACGAAGAAGCAGAAGCGATAAAATTTTTGTTTTGTTTTGTTTTTAAAAAGTGATCGTGATCTGCGAAAAAATTTAGTCAGATGTGTTGTTTGTTGATACTCTCAAATTGATTTGTTTTCTTCTCAAAACGGGGGAACTTTTATGACTTCATTCCAGATGTCTCCGTTTGTTGCACATCGAGAATACGTGTGCAGAAAATATTATGTTGACGTACTATCGAAAGGCTTTTCGTTTTTCGTGCTTGCCGTTATTTTTCAACTGATATTCCCTCTTCTGTTGAGTTCCGAAAGTGGAGGTGAGATCATTTATTCGTTAAAAAAAAAAATCTGTCAGCATATTTAATTCGAAAACTTTGCTCGATTCTTTCCACGTGTCTAATACATTTCATTTATTCATAGATTTCTGGCGAACGAGGGCAGAGTTTCACGAGAGACCAAAAGTGAAATTTACTGGAAGACTTGTGGCGATTGCCGAAGTGGAAACCGAAAAGGGGGAAAGAGATCAAATGGTCTTCTCGTCTTTTGAAAAATTCCTCGACGAGTATGAACCGTACTTCCGCATTCCGTTCATCCAGGTTGATAAATACCATGTGTAAAGCAGAAGCATCGTCCTTGACTTTTTTTTGGATTCACAGCATCGGGAAGAAGATACAGACGAAGATGGAATATTGGATCAGCTGAAATTGGACTTGGAATTTCCTCTTCAAGAAACTGAGCGTTCGAGAGGAATAAGTCTCATGTTGTTGTTCTCATTTGCATTGCTTGTGAGTTATGCTGAATTTGGCAAAAGACACTCCGTCGGAAACATTATTTTATAGGTCTTATTGCTATCAAATGAATCATGCTACGGGTTGCTTAGCTCACGGGGTGTCCAAAAATTTACTTCCCTGTGCGAAATTCGTAGCCAATGGTTCCAGAATTTTAGTGCTGTTACGTTCAGCACTTATGGTGAATTTTCCGAAAATGAGCTGAATGACGCGCTTGGGAATTCAGTCGTTTTCAAGGTATTTAGATTAGCGAGAACATTTCTTTGAGGTGAAACTTTTCAATATTTCACCGACAAATGTTGAAGGCATGAAACAGAGAAATCTAGCAGCTTTTAGGTTGTCCCATTAAAATAATTTGACTGCCAGCAAATTCTAAGCCCATTGATTTAAGTTTTCCCGTTTTTTTTTCTTCCTACGGTTTGTCACTTCCACAAGATGAATGTAAATACTAGTCGCTCTCTGAAAGCCGAGTAAATATAGTTATCATACTTCGATATTTTCTTAAAATGTGCCTGAAATTGTTCTAGGGCGTAATTTTTGAGTCATGTATAGTTTTGTAGAATCCTAGTGTGGTACGGTTCATGAATAAACTTACACCACATGCAAGCAATGTCAAGTCGTGAATGTACAAATTTTAAAGATCATGAGCATGTACCGCTGAACCGCAAGATTAGTTGTTCGGGGGATGTTATAGCGGGTTTTTAATGTCTCACTGCGTAGGCTTTTTTTTTTCAGACTCCTGTTGGTTGTATGCTAAGTCAAGTGGGTGACAGTCGAATGATCGAAAAGTGTGATTCACGTTCTAAAGTTCAAGCAACTGATAATAGAGCATCTCAATGTAAAATTTACATGAGATAAGGCCCGCATTTAAATCGAGGTTGCGCTAGTAATTCAATGATGAGTCATTTCTTGAAAGAAACTGATCCCAGTAACCTGTGAGGAATTTTTACCGAGAAACTCGATTTTAAAGATGTTCATGCAGGAAGTACCCGAGTGTAATGAATAGTCCAACACTGTCAAGAAAACCCCGATCAGCCGCCACCCTCGGAAACCGCCGATTTTTATTAATCATTCCTGATCATAAAAGCGTTGGAAACCCCGTTAAAACGACATACGCCAAAATTATTGCTGTCAAATATGCTCCTGACAAATTTTGTCTTCGACAGCCGCCAACAAGATTCAAGTTTCTGCAAGAGGTCTCCATTTAGAAAGAAAACACACACTCGCACAATTGTGACAAAATTTAATTTTTGGAAGCATCGGCTACGTATTATTTATGCATCTAAGGGTTATTTTGGTTGTATTCTATTAGGCGAATAATTGGATTTTCCATTATACTCAATTTTCATATTAATTTAGCGTTTCTGATAAACCACCAGTCCCAGTATGTTGCGGTGTTTGCATTTTTTGTTTACCACCGCCGAATAGCTCCAAATTCATGACATGACATATAGTATTATGTCGGAAGACAAAACAGATAAGTAAGTCCTAGTTGTAGCAAACTGTTACCTACCCCTGGCATTTGTGCAGTCACCGCCTTTGAATACCCGTCGCAGCCGAACGATTCCTAACCAATACGAATTCAAGACTGTTGGGTTCCTGAGCACACACCAGTTTATCCCGCTTCCGAGTCCCGGACATCCCATGACTTCCTTCCGATTGGAAAATGCATTTCCTGTGCGTCAGTTGCAAGCGCCATCTGTGGACTTCAGGGAACTCGCTGTTGGCTACTTGACTTCCGGAAACAACAGCGTAATTACGAGGTTCGAATTTGAGCCGATCGGCGTTGTGTCTCAGGAATCAAATCTCAGACGTTCAAATCATGTTGAAATGTTGACGAGTTTGTTCTTGGAATTTTTTTATGACTGCTTTGATTCACTCTTAATTTCAAATGAAAGGTTGAGACAAGGCAGGTATTATTTGCTGACGGAAGCATCTTCGAAAATCGAGTGATTACTCTTTGAATCGAAATTTGTTCGTGATCAATAATTTGGCCATTTTCCCCCGGTAATTACATCTTACTTCATATGAGCTCATAATTTATTCTCAGGTGCAATCCATTTGCTCTAAATCAGAATCTTCAATCGTCAGGAAGCGTGACGTGAATGCCAAATTGAGCCTGGTGGCAAAAATTTGAAATTGGATGTTGATCTGAAAAGCCGCTATAAACACGCTAAACTTTTAAAACGTCTCCATTGCTGGGTTGTAATATTATACAGTAATATAACTGGAGTTAATGTACGCTATTCGACGATTTTAGTCATTTTACCTTGAAGAAAATTTGTAATTTAATGGAAGAAAGAGTTAAGATGGTTGCGAGTGGTTCCGCGATTTTAATTGCATAGAAAAATAATAACTCGTGTGGTTATTTCTAAATTGATAAATTTATCATTCCCAGGTATGAAGAAGTTTTGGGATACGTCGATATAGTCAATGATGGACCCGATATTCCTCGTCGGATAAAAGCTTCGATCCTAGTCAAGTACCCCAGAGAGGAAAAGTTTGAGCGCTGGGTCGGCTTATTTGAATCTTTCAAGTGGGCCTGGGTCCAGTACTTGGCGTTCTTCATTCCGGTGTACCTTTGCGTCCAATGGCTCGGGAACCATTTGTTTGCTGAAAACAAAGTCTTCTGTCACGTCGTTGTCGGCAAAGAAGGAAACGTCGCATCCGCATTCCCTACTGTTGGTGCACAATGACCTGCAGCAACGAATGTTCAAATTTTGACTAGTCAAAAAGACATGAAACAATACAAAAAAATGTGGTGATGCACAGATTTTTTATACTACAATACAGTATGTTGCACTGATCTCGTTCCGTCCAAAGAATAAGCTGTGTTCAAGATGCCTGACGCACTTCTTGGAATAAATGTGGTTAATATTTTTGACCTTTATCATGACTTTTTTATTCAGCTGACGCGTGTACAATATTTTTTTCTATGTGTAAAACCAACTTCAGTACAAGTTGCGTAAGAAATACATTATACTAATGATTAGATTATACCCACACTTGAAAGCTTTCATGCAGCATAATATACAAAGTTGAATTTCTGTGAGGAAATAATGAGCCTTTCTCCATATGAAAACTAAGATGTTATTCAAGTTTATTTTTCACAATACAGGTGAACTTCTCAAAGTCAAATTTCTAGGGACCAGGAAAAAAATTTGACTTGGGGAGTTTTTGAGGAAAGGAAACAAATATTTTTGCTGCAAGGAAAATGGGGAATGTAGATGAGGACATTCTGGGCCTAAACTTGCTTCTTAATGAGCTTGACTTGTGAGCAGGGGTTCATTTGTTCAATTAGTCCTTCACTTGATTTCAAAATGCCTAAAATAATTTGTTTTGTTGATTTTCTCAATCATATTTCAAGGAAATAATGACCAAAAGGCCTCAGAAAATTTGACTAACAGAGGTTTGAGAGAAAACTACTTTGAGTTAGGGAGGTTTTAATAAATTGTTTCTACGGGAATCCAGACAAGGACTTGAAAAAAAAATTGGACTCAGTGAGGTTCACCTGTATTTTTTTATTGATCCAAATCTTGTGTTCATTTATTCGATGGCATCTCTAGCCCAAAAAATCCTCCCGTGGAGAATTTCCAGCATCCAGGTCACTATATATGCTGTCATAGCCAGTTGGAACATGCCACAAGTCCTTATTCTTGGTATACTCATTCAAACGACTTATTCTCTTATCTTTTGAGACCGCGATGAATGAAGATATGCAATCACGAGGCATATATTATCAAATATGATCCCATAGATCTTAAATACCCCGGATATACTTGTCAAAGCAAGGAACTCGCGTGTCACACTTCACTTCTTCGGGCGATTCTCGCTTCTATTTTTGTCAAGTGTCTCTGGTATATTTCCTCCGTTAAAGCCTCTGTCTGGCGGAAACGAAAAAAGGAGGAAACATCTTTTCATCGTGGCAATGAAGAGATCTACGATTTTCTTCGCGATCCTTGTGTCTGCATTCACGTTGGTCACACATTCTAAAGCTTGGATTCCTCCACCAAGCATAAACCTGAAAGACTTCGTGGACAAAACCCCGACGGGCGACTTTGAAACTTGGAGACATAACCACGGTCTGGACGAAGTGGAATTCACTGACTTGTTTGACAATGGTATGAAATTCGCGATACCTGTACGATTATAGTATTTAAAAGTCTATATCATATAAAAATGGATTGAATTCAAAGGACGAGAGAACAATTTGCTGTAGAGAGAATTTTGTTGTAGATGAGAACCCCTATAACAAGGGGAGAGAGCTGTATAATAAATGGGATAACAATAAGTTCATTATACACAACAAAATTGTTTTATAGACAAGACCGTTAATTGTGGAGGAAGTCCACCTGTTTTCATTCTGAGATATACAATCAGCGCAGGTCTGCAAAAGTTTTTTGCTAGTCTGCAGGAACATTTCTTCAGTGTAATACATTTATCAAAAATAGTAATAAATAGTCTGTGATCTTTATCTGAAATTCTGAAAAGAAATATGGCAGTTGAAATTATCTGAGGAAAAATAAAAATTGGCTTTTTTCTTAATAACATGTCAGACAACAAATTTTCACTGGCTAGAAACAATATTACAGTATTGTGCTTAATTATTTATTCTGAGAAACCTTTCTATATATACAGTAGGAGCCCAGCTATTTAGTTTTTTGAAGACATTCCACTGCAGTATATTTAGCTGATTCATTGGTTCTTAAGTTATTTTTTGCAATGAAGGTTTGTTTGGAGGACTGAATGACAGTTATATTGTACAGTATTTGAAAATTTCTGCTGGTTTTCTAACATTTTACAATCTTTGCCAGACTGCAAAAAAAGTATGGATCTTTGACCAGACTGTGACAAATAGTTCATAGAATTTGCTGGTCTGCAAACAATTTTATAGAAATTTGCAGGTCCATGGGCCAGGAAAGGTTGGGGTACACTGATCTAAATTGTGGTAAACATTTTCAAACACAGGACAATATTCACTGCAGATTACAGTCAACCCCCACCTAACAGACCTATACCACCTGAAAGATTTTTGCCTATTATACCTATAATGGACAAAATTCACCTAATGGACTTCTGTTGGTAAAAAACAAATGGTAAAAATTAAAAATTTCAATTTTTCAATAATTGAATTTGCATAACAGACATTTCACACAACAGACATTTCACATAACAGACATTTCACAAAAGATACCAGTCTGTTTGCATAATTTATGTCCATTGTGTGGGGGACTGGGGGTTGAATGTATAATTGTATATTCATTGTCTTATGCAGGTAATTTGCTGAAGAAGCTGATACCATGGATGCAGAAAGGACTGGAAACCCATCATGTCATTTCCAGCAGTCAGCAAGGGCACCCAAGCAATGCTGACAATGCTTTGAGCTGTGCAATTCATACTGGAGCTTATTTGCAAGCATTGCGAGATGTTTTGAATGGATCTGTTGCTGAGAATTGGTGGGCTGTGCAAAGTGCGTATTGGGAAGTTCGCAATACCTCACACAATAAACCATAATTTCAGTCTGGACTTCTGTATATTTACATCATTTGATTGAACTTTTGAAAGATTTTAGTCAGCCCATAATTCAAGCTTAGGGCTGCAAAAGAAACTCCTTTGATGGTATAAAAGCAGATTGAGTGTCTACTTCAATCCTGCTGAGGGTTTTTATACATTCAGAGGAGGACACACAATAGCAAATCAGAAAGAGAACACAGGGGAAAACCAGTCTGGAAAGAAACCCTTGAGAAAAAAGGGAGTATAGCACCACAACTGGTATATGGAAGGAAATTCATGATGAGTGACTTCACTCCTATGGGACATGTACAGGGTGACAAATTATTGTATGATCAAATCAATTCTGCTGGAGAACTGAGGTACTGTATTATGCAATTTATTTAAAAAGGGAATACAGTGACCCCCTGCCTAACAGACCTCCCGTGTAAGGGATTTTTGCCAAACAGACCAGCTCTGCAAGCAGTTTTTCCTCCCACCCAACAGACAAAATCCGCCAAACAGACTTCTTTTGGTTTAAAATTAGTGTTGGAAATTGAAATTTTTAATTTTTTATGTAATTGAACTGGTGTAAAGGACTTTTTGTCTAACAGACTTGTCCCTTGAACAAATCAAGTCCTTCAGACGGGGGTTGACTGTACATGCATTGTAATACATTAGTATATACTGTGCAAGTACATGGATGCCTGGAATAAAATGAAACTCCACCAAAAGTTAACAGCGTATTGGAAAACTTTTCCCATCACAAAGCACTGAAAATTTTCCATCACAAGAACAGGTACACTGACGGCAGGCACCCGACTCGTGGCTGGCTGATGGAATAAGAAAAACTGTCGAAACCGAGTCAAGATTTCCACTTTTTGCGTTGCTCAAAACTTCATTTCTTTCCTGATGCCTCGTCCTATCGTGTCGTTGTCGTGTGACGCACACGCACGGGCTGCGACCGGCAAACTCGTCCGCCTCTCTCAACAAGCCCTCATTGACTGCTCGTGGCAATTTGAAAACAACGGCTGCGACGGCGGCGAAGACTTCCGCGCCTACGAATGGATGATGAAGGAAGGCGGCATCAAATTGAAATTTTTAATTTTTTATGTAATTGTATTTGTGTAAAGGACTTTTTGTCTAACAGACTCGTCCCTTGCACGAATCAAGTCCGTTATATGGGGGTTGACTGTATATTCAAGCGTAGATTTTCCTGGTCCAGACTGTTTGCAAAGATGCTGGAAGAATTACGGAGAATAATTCCAATCTTATTTATTATAGCTTTCTTTGGAAAGACAAAAGTAGAGATGGTGCAAATAATTATGTAAATTCTTGTTTTTTGGTCTATACAGTATAAAAACAAAGTAAAATGTAACATATACAGTATTGTCCAAATCTGTACTGTACCTATTCCTGACAGAGTATAGGTATTTATATAATAATACCTGCACTCTGTATATACTCTATTAGAAACCCCAATATTTTCAGCAAGAACGTTTTTTTTTTATCATATTGAAGACAACACGCGAGAGAGAAGTGTATACATTAAACGTTATTACAGATGCTTTGACTGAGCTTTTATTGTATATCACCTGCATTCCGAATAAGTGCCTGATATTTTCAAATGACAAACTAATGTTTCAAGTTTAAGTTGTTACAGAAGTTTATACATTTTTCTTTTATAGTGCTTGATGCCACGGGGAAACTTCCGGATGGTATTTTCCACGGCAATTGGGCCTCACTCGGAGATTTCGACGAATGTTTGGAAATCAGGGCCCATTTGAAATCCGTCGGATTCCCTGNTTTTTCTTTTATAGTGCTTGATGCCACGGGGAAACTTCCGGATGGTATTTTCCACGGCAATTGGGCCTCACTCGGAGATTTCGACGAATGTTTGGAAATCAGGGCCCATTTGAAATCCGTCGGATTCCCTGCTGAAAAAGCCAACAAAAAGCCGGATTTGTTCCCAGTTGTGACGTGTCAAGCGGAGTAAGGTTGAAACATTCTGCAAAGCGTTTACGAAACAACCAAAGTACGACGGCTTATAAAAAGTTTAGACTTAATGTTTCGTCGTCTAAAGTACGTTAAACCTTGAATTCTTGCATCTTTTTGGATAAAAAAAATCAAATTTTCTGTTTTGTTGATAAGGGAAACTTTCCAGCAGTTATATTGCCAAAATTCTCCACCCATGTCCCTGGGTGGTAAAAATGTGTCATGCCTACTAAAAATTGAAATTTTTTGTTTTATCTATTGTCTTATCTACATTGAAATGAATGGAAAACAGCAGCAAAATTTAAATTTTTTAAATTTGTCAGGCCAACTGAAAATCGAAATGTATGCAATATATTACCCATTATACTGATAGTTATAAAAGATGTTTATATATTACCATCTCGATGTTTTTAAGTGTCAAAAATCGATATCGGACTTTTACAAATATGACATCGTGGTTCGTCACTGTACCCGTTTCTTGAACTGACATAGACCTAAAATTTCAAGTATCATCATAGGCTGTGAATTAAAAAACGTGTTTTTTTTAATCACAGAACCCTATTACAGCATTTTATTGGGCTATATCATAATTTTTCTGGTCAAACTGAAATGCTCCACCTCCTGAAAATATCCCAACTTTGCCTTCCAATGGAAATTTTCACACTTATTGCCATCCAAGGGTTAACATGAGTTTTGCTGGGTTCATTTCTTTCATCTACCCCCCCCCCCTCTGCCCCATCATTCCTGACCTAGGAACAATTTTTGAAAGAGAGAATATGCTCTGGTGAATTTTGAATCATTTTTGTCCTTGATTCCACCTTATGTTCATAGAACCAGTCACAATCAAATTTTAATTGGAAATATGAGGCTGTGCCTGCCTTCATTAGGGATTTTTCATTAAGAATTTGTAACATGTTCCTCACACAAGTTTGCTATACTGGAATTGGCAAGTTTGTGTTGTAACCCTTTAGGATTTCTGCTAGGTCTTGGGAAAAATTGTGTTCTACTGAAACATTTGTTGCAATGGTATTTGTTGTAACATGATTTTACTATATTAAAATGGGTTATTTTGAAGGAAGATTGACAACCATTTCCAATTTAATGCAGTCAATAAAACTGTGTTTGGCCTTTTTCTCTTTTTTTTTTGCACACAGTGCCATTCCTGGGACTCGAATGACATCGGATTCCGAATGGCTGCAAATGATCGTCGGAAGCGTGGATCCAAATGCTCTCATGCAAAACCTACCGAAAATCGGAATCTGCATCCCATCTACTTGCAGTGCTGCTCAATTCGAGGTTATTTCCTTTCTTTCATTCGGCTCTTCGAGATTATTCGCAATTATAACTTTTCGAGCGGAAAAGTTATTATTCCCGACTTCTTATTATTATAGCAAGCGCTGTTTTCGGCTCTCAATGGCACAGGAATCTACCCTTTGTTGTACGATACCAATTGTTTCGTGGACGAAGGCGTCAGCTTTGATGCTGCTGATTACGTCGTTATGTGAGTTGAATATTTTTTACCAACTGAATGTTCGGGTCGGACTTTCTCCTTTTTTAAATTTTTGCCAAGGTTTTCACTCACTTATCTTTTTTTTCCAGATTCGTGATTGCTTTGGTTGTGTTCACTGCAGCCGCTGGCACCGCTGTGGATTACCAAATGATGCGCAAGAAAGAGAGCCCCAAAACCAAGGGTAAATAAAATGTTTTGGAATTTTCCAAGAAACTATTCAAAATTACAAAATTATTGGTTGATTCAAAAGCGTCATTTTCAATCTTGTCAGAGTTCACAATGTTATCACAAAAATTTCCCACATCCATTATAAACACATTTTCTGGCATTTTAAAAATAACATAATATGTATATTTACTCGCTTAAAATTAATCCCAGTGCATAAGAATGCATAAAAAACGCCATAATTTTTTTTAAGAATTAGATTAATCATCACATTACAGCAGCAGGTCAATTGTTCAGCACAAATTAAAACATCACAAGGTGTTCAGCCTGTTTCTTGATATTTTTAATTTTTTTCAAATTCTGATTGCAAAATTTCAAAAAATCTTTCAGAATAAATTATATAAAGCCTTATGTTGGTCCGCTAAGATTTGTGTGAGTACCGTTTTATTAAAGTAGGAGAACCCTTTACATCTTTCCATAGTTCAATTTGTATGATGTGGAATGTAATGATGATTATTTATCTGGGAAAATGTGTCAATGTTTGTTTCTTGGGGACTTTGTGGTTCTCCTTTAATTTGGTGATTTCAGAACAAAAGAATTTTAGGCATTTTGCTGAGTGGAATGCTCTGTCCTATACTGTATAGACATTGTGATTTTGTTTCTTGTTGCAAAGGTGTCGCCTGAATTTGATTGAATGCTATCTGCTCTTACTACCGTGCATTAGCGTATTGTTTTACGTTTGGTTAATTTTCACGCTAGTCAAGATTTTGTGAAATAATACTTGTGTTCGACTGTCGTGACCTAGACATAATTTGCGTTCAAGGCTCGTAAAAAAATCCTGGCGTATCGATGGAAAAAGAAACGAAAGTTAATGAAACAATGAAAAAGTTTTGTAGTGCTGTGATACAGTATGAGAGAGAAGGCGAGGAACTCACATGTCATGAACTGATTTAGGCGTATCGATGGACATCTGTGGACATCTGTAGAACATCTGTAGAATCAAGAGAGGAGGGATCTCTTTTCTATCTGAATAGATGTCGCGTGAAGGAATCTAATGGCATTCGTTCTTCCTTATTCTTGTTCATCAGGTCCTGGGGTGCAGGCATTGTTGGCATTTTCCGTGATAACCAATGGAAGGAAGCTGCTGAGCACCAAGAAAACTCCTGCTACCCTGGACTGTTTGCACGGAATCAGATTCATTTCCATGTCTTGGGTTGTATTGGGCCACACATACGCAATTGGTATTCAAACCTCCTTCTCAAATTTTGCTCCAGGGATAAAATACGTGAGGATTCATTTTGTGGAATTTTTTTAAAGAACTAGCAGTTTTATGTACACAATTTGTTCTTTGGACAAGTTTTGGAGCACATTTTTGCTCACTATAGGCATCACACAATAGATCAGTGTTCCCCAACCTTTTTGTGGTTGCAGATAATGCAGACTGACAAATTTTAATGAAATCTTTTGTGGATGAGCAAACTTGTACAGTATTTTCATAAAGTTTTTTGCAGACCAGCAACATTCTACAGGTAGTACCTTGAAATTTGACCCTAATCCATGGTCAGACTAGGGTTGAAATGCAAAGCAGTCAAATTGTAAAATTAAGAAATATCTGCAAAAATGCATAAAAAGAGGCCAAATCAGGTTGAATTCTGGGACAGAATTTCCTGCAATTTTGAATGTCAAATTGTGGGACAGTCAAATTGTGAGGTACCACCTGTATAAAATTTTTGACAACTAGCAGAATTTTTGAAAAACCTTCCATACGTGCATTTCTCAGAAAATCTTTTATTGGAAAAATTATGTTAACCAATGAAGCAGCTATATATAGTGAAGTGTCTTAGGAAAATAGAAAAATTGGATGCAAGCTAGGTTTCTCAGATTGAAAACTTGAATTAATGTCTTTCAAAAGGTGAAAATATGTCTGAAGTGCTATTAGGAGAAAGGTCAACTCATTTTTCCTTAGTTTCAAGTTTTCAATTAATACCATAGTCTTACAGAAGAAGTTTTGATCACAAATATAGACTTCATTCCCACTTTTATGCATGAATGAACAGAACACTTTATTTGCCACTTTTCAGTGTTCACAAGGTTCAATCAAGATCCCACTTTTAATAAATTCACCATGTGCTGTAAGAAATTTTCCTGCATGCTGGAAAAAAAACTTCTGCTGACCACCAGTTGGGGAACACTGCCATAGATGATTGTATTTCATGTCTTTAGAAAAATATAAAAACTGGATGCAAGATTGATTTCTCAGATTGAAAACTCAAATTAATGTACTTCAAAAGGTGAAAATATGTCTGAAGTGCTGTTAGGTGAAAGGTCAACTTATTTTTCCTTGAATAATCTCAACTAATGCCATAGTATTATTTGAAGAAATTTTGATGACAAATATAGACTTCATTCCCACTTTTATGAATGAATGACCAGAACACTTTATTTGCCGCTTTTCCGCGTTCACAAGGTTCAAAGAAGATCCCACTTTTAATAAATTCACCATGTGCTGTAAGAAATTTTCCTGCAGACTGGCAAAAAAAAAAAAAAAACTTCTGCTGCTGACCACCAGTTGGGGAACACTGCCACATAGATGCTTGCATTTTATAATTATTGATAGAAGGTAATATACATTCGATTTTCGCCCTTGTTTATTCCCCCATTTACATATATTGACAGATGCTTAGGGACGGTGCCTTTGACGCAGTCGTCAACGGCACTGTGTGGCACCTGTGCAAGAAGGACGAGTCGCCCGATTACCAGCGGAAGCAGGACAAGTCTCTGGACCTTGCCAGGCGCCCGTTCAAGTTGGACGGCGACAAAATAGAGGTGGCGATGGACGCTGAGTGGGGTCCGATTGCCATTTCCTTGGCTGTTTTCGCCACTTTTGTGCCGAAACTGTATGCGTCACCCTACTGGAACGGGGCATCAGCCACTGCTGGCGTGTGTCAGCAAATGTGGTGGAGGACTCTGTTGTATGTGCAGAATATCCCGAGTTTCCAGCCGGAAATCACTGACCAGAAGCTGGTGACGGACGCCACTGTGGGCTGTATTGGCCAGGTCTGTATGACGCAAGGGTTGACATAAGTATATTCAAGTCAAAATTTCAAGGAATAACCAGCAAGCAAGAAAAAAATCGAGTTAGAGAGTTTTGAGATATGGAAAAAAGATTTGATTGATTGACTGATTGATAAACAAACTTCATTTTCTGCTTTTCAGCATTCACATGCCGGTTTCAACAATGTTCCCACATCTAAAATCCCCTCCCCTCCCCACCCACACTAATCCCAACACATCCAATCACATCAGAATGAAAATAGAGAAATAAGCTGTTTATGGATATTAAAGAAAATGAAAATACTGTACATTTAAAAAATGTACGAATGCACAACTGATTTAAATGCATATACTTTCTTCCCCTCACCGGATTAAAAAAAAATATATTAGTAATAACAGTTACATCATAATGCAATTTACAAACACAAATTAAAGTGCAAGGTGTTCAGCCTGCTCCCAGGTAAGTTATAGTTGATTGAAAAATTTGGAGGATTTTTGTTGAGAAAAAGGAGGAAAGAATTGCAGGAAATTGTGCTTTGTGATATTTTGATTTTATATTGTTTCTTATACTTTATTTGTCGTAACTGTTATAAGGATGCTGAACTTGGAGGCAAGCAGCTTCTTTTGCCCAATTACTCTTTCACTTTTTTTTTTCAAAACATCTTGAGTTACATTTTTGTAGCTTTTCTCTTTCCAGTGTCAATAAAATAATGGCCAAAAATTAAGGCATGCCAGAAAATGAGTTATTGAGGTTTGAGAGCTTCTGGGGAAGCCATTTTGTACATTTTTGCAGTTAGGATTTATTTGACTTAACCCTTGGACGGTGGCAGCCTCCTTTCCATCCCAGGGCTAAGTCGGACTTTTTCCTGATGGGTGTGCATTATATTTTTGCACAAGGTTATGCAACCCCTGCCAGGTGGGGGAGGGTGAAGTCGGATTTTTTCCGGGGATAATGAAATGCTGGGAAAGTCCTGAGTTGGAATTTTTCCATATTGACCTCCAACTTGGGCTCCTGGCTTTCAAGCTTAAATTTAATCTTTGAATGGGGAAACAACACAAGGCCAGGGAAAAAAAGAGAGCCTTGAAGCTTTCATTTTTTAATTTTCAGGTGAAATGTTTCTGTGGAAAATTAAAAAAAATGCCAGGATTTTTCCAGACTTCGCCCTGCACACACTGTTTGGGTTTTTTCAATTCCACTCTGGAGTGCCACAAAAATCTGCGAAAAAAAGTCCAACTTAGCCGCAGAAGGGTTAAGGAGGTTTTTGCCATCAAGGTTCAACTGCTGTAGCTCAGGTCCAAAAGTTGTATTTTTTCTTTCTCTCTCGCAAGGCTGCCTGTAGTTTTTCAAACTTCAGCAGCCTTGAGATCTTCTCTTTCTGCAAAACTGGCCCAAGATTGTACTGCTAAAAAATCCTGGAAGTTGTCAAAAAATTATTGTTTGAAAAAAATACAGAAACATCTTGTACATTGGCAATGGAAGAATGTTGTCTCTTAAGATACTGGAACAACCTGGAATGCCTGAACTGGAATATTTTCATCACAAGAAAATTTGAATTAACTTGTCAATCTCCTCAATGAAGTTCTTCCCTGCTTCCTTTCCTGGCAAATTTTTAGCACCCTGTGACATGAATGGAGGGACAGTTCTCCACTCATGAACGTTTTTTAAACCCTGTTCAAAGTCCCTGCTTGTACAAGGAAGGGCCAGTATGCTTAGGAGGAGGTTATTCCTTATTCACATTAGATGGAAAGTCCACAGTTTTGCCAGACAATGATGTTCCAATTTCAGGAAAAAAGCATATTTTGAAGATTTTATTCCAGTTTAGCAGAAAAATGAAATTCCCAAATGCAATATTATTCCTGAGAACATTAAATCTTGACAAAATTAAATCTTGACAACATTTAATCTTGGCAACATTAAATCTTGACAGCATTAAATCTTGACAACATTAAATCTTGACAACATTAAATCTTGACTACATTATTCCAGTGTGACCAGGTTTGGCCTGGCAACGTTATTCCATCCACCCCTGAAAACCCCTGTATGGGGGTGCATGTCTTACTTGATAGGGGGCGCATTAGTTCTTGAGTAAATACAGTAATTGAAATACTTTGGCACGCATGTAAATTTATATATTTTATTCTGCTTACTTCAACAGTACAAAATGTGCAACGATTTTTTTTTTACAGCTCTGGTACGTGTCAAACGACATGCAAATGTACCTGTTTGCCCCATTGGTGCTGCTCCCGCTGTTTTACCGTCCATCAAAGGCGGCCTTCGCCTGGATCGGCTTTGTGGCCATAGGCGCCGCTGTGGCGCCGATGATCGTCATATGGCACTACGATCTGGCAGCCACTATGCTCCCTATGTCGGCTACGACCCAAGAATACTTTGAATACATATACACTGCTTCCTATTCCCGTGCTGGACCTTACGTCATTGGACTCATCTTTGGATATCTGCTGCATCGAACGCGAGGGAAGAAGTTGATCTTGCCAAAGGTTAGAAATATTTTTCCTGAATATCGGAAAAGTTAGACCCCCAAATGTGGACATAGTCTTTTTTATGTTCAATAACGGCTTACAATTTCATGTGCGTGACGCAAAGCTTTCCCATGAGTTTGTGGGTTAGTAATTAGTATACGAGAATATACTACAGTATGCTGAAAAAATTTAAAATCATTCGAATGAGAGGTGTATAAGAAATGTGAACAAAATCTGTCTTTATTTATTCTTTCTGCATTTTAATGCCTCTTCTTTTCTCACTTAATCTAGTTTCCTTTCTGTGAAAACTGTGCTCAAACAAATTCGGAAGAAATTGAATTTTCGTTTGAATTGCATATAAGTAAAAGGCAAGAAATCTTTTTTCCGAGGTTGAAGAATTTATAAATTCTCAAAATTCGTGATGCAAACATAAATATCGCGTTGAATTTTCGCGGTCAGGTTACTCAGCACCTTACAAGTCCGCGCGGAAACGTGTATCCGCTTCCAAGTCCGCGCGGGAACGTGTATCTCTTTCCAAGTCCGCGCGGAAACCTGTAGCCCCTTTCAAGTCCGCTCCAAAAAAACGAGTCCGCGCGGAAACGTGTATCCCCTCGAATATAGTATACGTATACAGTAATTCAAATATAGCCACCGATTCATTTTAATTTTTATTTATTTATTTTTTTGCTTACAGTGGGTGGTTTACGGAGGTTGGTTGACAGCATCAGTGACTGGTCTAGCCATTGTCTATGGACTACGAAGGTACATTTCCTTGGAGGAACCTTCACGTCCTCAAATGAGTCGTGCTGAATCCATTCTCTACGGCGGACTCCACAGGAGTTTGTGGGGCCTCTGCGTTGGATGGGTTGTGTTTGCCTGTGTCCACGGTTATGGAGGTTAGTTAACATTTTCCCACCGGCAGATTACGTAAAAAAATAAATAAAATAAAACCCGAAAAGAAACGAAAAGACAATTCTTCCCTCCCACAATTTTTTTCTTCTTCCCCTGCTTGCATTGGATTGTCGATCTGTTGGACGAGTTGATGCAAGTGCGTGTTTTTCAGTCTGTATTTTCGTTTCTTGTAATATTACTTCTATCCGAAGACAGGCTTTTTTATTTCACACTAGAACGTATTATCACACCTGATTTTTTTGTGGAAAATCAGCGGAATATTTTCAAATTTTTCGAATCTTGATCCACGGTGTAAGAAATGTAAAAAAATCTGTGTTTATTTATTCTTTCTGCATTATAATTCCTCTTATTTTTTCACTTAATCTAGTTTCCTTTCCGTTGGGAAATAAATGTGCAGTACAGTGAATATGTATTTTAAACTCGATTAAGAATTCTATGCTGTGTTCCTGCCATAATAATCAGCTGATTGTGTCTTTTCTGTTCATTTTGTCTTATGGGATTCAGATTTAAATTTTTGGCCTTTCAATATTATTAGTGCTTTTAATTATTCTTATTTCTATAATTTCATTTTACCCAATGAATTCTTCATCAAGTCCGCCCAATCACATCTGTCATGGTTTAACTGTGAGACTTGGAGAAATCTTTAAAATATTTGACAGCGAGTGCTGGTGAGCAATTGATACTTTTTCGAAATTGATTCCCTTTACAGACAGAAAGATGAAATTCAGAGAAAAGTCGATATAATCTGATGACTGTTATGAGGGGAACAGCAGAAAAACGACGCAAAAAATTCTTTAATGCCTGTGATGTTTCCTTCAGACATTTCCAAACTGTTTCCGTTGTAAATTATTTGTTATCCCGGAATTCAAATTGCATTTACTGCATGTTAAAAAATTGCTTCACAAATATAATCTTCTGGAGATATATATAGATGCTAAATACATTTATTTGAAAGGACATTGGCCTCCAGGTTTTATCTCATGAGAGAAAGAGAGATAATGACCCGGAATTACGAGAAGGGCCTGAAATAGATCTTTACGAGACCTATTTCAAGTGGGTAATTACTATATTGGAATCTGGAAGCTTATGCACTTCATGTTTCCCGTGATTTCCAGGATGGATCAACAAATTTTTATCTTGGAAGCTCTTCATGCCCCTGGGGAGACTGACTTACTGTTCCTATCTTCTGTCTCTCATGATTCAGCAAATTTACCAATGGTCTCGCAAAACGGTTCCACACCTGGATCACCTGACCATGGTGAGTTATCAGGGAGGGGAAGAAAGTGTATGCATTTGCATCAGTTCTGCAATTGTACATTTTGGGATGTATTTTCTCTTCTTTTAATATCCATATATACGCATCTTATTTCTCTATTTTCCATTTTGATGTGATGGAATGTGCTTGGATGAATGGGGGGTGGGGAGGGGGAGG